GACAGGCCCAACATCACAAAGCTGTAAATTATGGAGCTGCCAAGTCAAACCCGTATCTGTTTGACTTCAAAACCCACATTATCTGTATATCCTTCTAGCTTGTGTGAAATAGTGGGAGAAGTATTTATTCAACTCAATTGACACAGCCTTGGCCAAGCCTCAGCCCACTGCTTGTCACTTCCTTCTACCATCTCACCTAGTAACTGAAAAATTCACATGGTCCCAGAAGTCAGAATGACGACTTTCGCTACTACTAATGTGACCACTACTACTGCTAATAACCCACTACTAATAATAGCGATAATGGCGGCTCCCACTTTGAAAGAGCTTGCTGTGCATCTAGCACTGTGTTAAGCTTTCAGTATTTTGCCTGTGTGGACTCATTTAATACTTATGAAAATGCTAGGACTTAGGTAATATTTTTATCCTATTTTATAGATGAGGACGTCAAGGTCTTGAGAGGTGAAATACCTTGTCCAAAGTGAGGTGACGGTTAAGCGGCTGTCAGAGCCCAGTGCCAGCTCTAGTGTGACTCCAGAGCAGGACCATCTCGCTGTAGGGTGGTACTAGCGTTCAGAGGATGTGATCAGCCGGGGAAGAATCAAGGAAGATGAGGAAGGTAGAAGGCTCTGGAATGCGGTCCTAGATTTCTCCTTTCACTTAGAGAGAAAGAGAAAGAGAGAGAGAAGGAGAGAGAGAGAGAGAGAGAGAAATGGAGCTGCTGGCACTGAGCTTCAGCTGTCTCCCCCACAGCAGATCGCTCGCGACTCGAACTTGAATTTCACCCACACAGAAGTAAACTGTTTCAGTTTGGGTTGGGGTGGAGAGTGGGTCGCCCTGTCTTTCCACAATGCAAATGCAAGATGACATTTTGCATTGAAAATGAAAGTCCTCACTCACCAGCCTTTGTTTCTACCCCAGCCCCCCACGCCTGCATTTCATGTCTTTTGTTTTTATTTTCATTAAGGCTACAGAAGGATAAGAAAATTTTTGCAAAGTAGTTGCCAGCTTTTAGCATCCACCTGCTCATTTGCCCCCCACTCACCCCCAAGGTACCCGTCTGGCTGTCTAGCAGGTGTAGCTTGCAGCTGTAGCAGATTTCACCCAGCATGGGACAGATGGAGGGGATATATCCATCACAGCAGGGTAGTTTTTTTTAAAAAAACTACATGACCAGACCTTCATCAAGGCCTAGTAGGAATTTATGGCATTGATGGAAAGTATGCCAAGTCAGCGGGTGTCTGTTCTGCTGTATTTTATGAGCAATAATGGGGTTCCTAGTGGTGGGGAGTGGGTGGTGGTTAGCATTGCCTGCAGTACAGGCAGGTCATTGTATCTGGGTTGTCTGGAAATGACCATAGCAGATTTTACTTGGGGAAGCATCGTGGGATGAGGCGGGGGGGTTGGCGGTGTCGGGGAGATGGCACGGGAGCCTTAATGACCTGGGGTAGCAGGTCACACATTCTCTCTGTGATTTCAAATGAGGGTGTGGCAGAGTCCGCTAGAGCTTGCCAAAGAACCGTGTGCTTTCCTCTGTTTCCCAGCCCCCATGTGTAGGTGACTTATCCTTACTGGTGGCAGGTAAGGGAGGAGGTACGTCACTCCCTGGCCAGAGGCAGTTAAGCAGGCAGGCTTGGAAGCCACATCCGGCCAAGGGCAAGGTTAGGAGATGAAGGAGGGCTGCCTGGCCCACATCGGGCTTGACATGGGTTTGCCTATGGGGGCAGCATGACAAGAAGTAACCCTTGGCAGGGCTGCGCTGTGGCTTATAGATGAGGCAGATAAAGCATTGCACACAGCAGGTGCTGCATCACGGCGGCAGCTCTTTGCCTGGTCCTGTGAACAGCTACAGAAGCCTCTGCCGGCCGAAGCCATAAAGCGAACCAGACAATGTTAGATGATTCTCTTCTGTCGCATCTCATTTGTGTCAAATCTCTGAGGATCTAGACCTGAGAAACTTGAAATGCAAGGAAAAAGGTCGAGAAGTCACAGTTGTTTCTGAAAGGTGGTTCTTTTCATTTCATCTCTTGCCCCATGGAAAACTATTTCCCGAGTTAATATTTCCAGAGAGAGCGACCCCACCCCTCTTCCGTAACCCTTCTCAAGGGCAGTCACTGGTGGGGGAGCAAGGGCTGTGGAACCACACCGGCCGAGGCTTCACACCCAGGTCACCTGCTTACCCTCTGCGCCCTGGGAAACGTTACTGCCCCTCTCTAAAGTCATCTATAAAATGGTGACTATAGTACCTGCTGTATTAGGGTTCTCCAGAGACCAGAACCAATGGGATATATGACATGTACATACTCACAGCTGAGCCTTGAACAACCTGGGGTTAGGGACGCCGACCACCGGCGAAGTTGAAAATATGACCATAACTTTAGTTGGCCCTCCGCATACATGGATTCCTGACCATGGATCAAAAATACAGTTGACCCTGAACAGCGTGGGTTTGAACCGTGTGCGTTCACCTAAGTGCAGATTTTTAAAATCCTCATTTTCATCCATCGTGAGAATGTGCCTCTCCATATAAACTTTAGAATCAGTGTGTCCAAACCCATAGAATGTACAATACCAAGAATGAGCCCTAAGGTAAACTGTGCACTTTAGTGAGTGTGATGTATTAATGTAAGTTCATTTTTAGTTTAAAACAAAGAAAGAAAAGAAAAATGTACCATTGTGGTGAGTGACATTGCTCATGGGGGAGGCCATGCATGTCTTGGGACAGAGGGTATATGGGAAATCTCTGTTCCTTCCTCTCGATTTTTGTTACGAACCTAAAACTGCTATAAAAAAAATAAAATCTTTTAAAAAATGCAAAAAAAAAAAGTGTCCTGGTAATTTTTGAAAGGTGCTAAGGAACTGACTCTGAAAATTGGCAAATAAAGGGAAAGACTCGAGCATTCAGCCTTCCTTTCCTGTAAAGGCTGAATCACTGTGTAATCAGATGGCAGATGTTTCTCTCTGCAGACGTATCCCAACACATAAATGCAGAAGACAGGCTCAAATGGGAATGTCATCAATTTTCAACCCCTAATGAATTAAGGATCTAAACATTGAACAGAAATGGCTGCTACCAACACAAAAAGATATTAAGTGCCTGTTGATGAGAACTATGACAGCACCTGTGGAATAGTTCTACCCCAAACACTTAAAAAACTGCAACCGATGAAGCCTCTGTAATCAACTCGCCCTTGGCAGGAAGTACAGAAGACTGAGGGAAATACTGATA